TTGAATAGCAGATTTAATTTCTTCTTTTGAGATTGGGGAATCTAATATTTCCGTTGCAAAATTGGTTTCATCATTATCAAAAGTGTTCAACTGGAAGTTATTTGTGGAATCATCACCGCTGAAAAGATTTTTGAAATAATACAACCACTCATGAATTTCAATGTTACTTTTAGTTTCCTTCTTTTTGCTGATGCTTTTCAAGGTCGTCCAAAACTATTTTGATGAGCAGATTCTTTCTTCTAGTTTTTCTGCTATTATCCATAAAATTTTATTTCTGTTTACTGCAATTAGCTTTATACGTATTTTTCGAATCAATGTACCGAGCAAGTGGCGTTTATCGTTTATCGAAATGGTTTAAAAGAGTGCATCTTTCCTTCTTTAACAACTCACATTCCGAGTCCAACCGCTGTTTACTTTCTCTGTTGGGGGTTACTCCCCGTTTCCAATCTCATTAAAATCACATCTAAGTTCTCGCTGCCGCTAGCTTTATTTAACGATAGCGAGAACTAAGATCTGGTTTTAATGAGATTGTTCCCTTTTCATTTCATTCCCTGCATATACAATAGCTTCTGTAAATAACGACCCACTGTCATCAATATTTGTAAAAACAGAATCAATATCTTTATGTAAGAGGCATGCGAAAGTGTCTGATAACAGACGTTCTTGGAAAATGTCTGCTTTGCTGTTATCCCAGTTAAACATGGAATGACTATGGTAGGCGTTATCAAATCATGGTTTTCCACATGAATGAAGCACTCGTAAACACATTGTGATGCAGGTGCAGGTGCTGTGACTCAATATCAACATTTTGACACAAGTCAAATAAATCTATGGTGCTAATAATGTAACTTGCCCCAGCATTGCCAACACATGTAACGTCACCTTCCCGGAATCACCTCCACAGGCGCCATTCATAATGTGTATATTTAAAACAGCACGTACATTTATATAACATTTTCCAAAATAATTAAGAACAGTATCGTTTGAATATCTACACAGATTAAACCTGTGTAAGAGAAAGTCTCAGTATGAAGTATCCTGGCCATGGAGATATTCAAGTTTATCATCCTCTACATAATCTGGCTCTTTGCCAGTTCTCGCATTAAAGTCACCCCCTTAAATGCACGAAACGTCACCAACTCCACTTAGAATGTCAAGCACTTCATCCCGAAATAGCAATATACCGTTTTTAGATCCAACATTACTGTCGTTCCATGTAGATCCATATAAACACAGCAGTATAACACATATCTTCTCTTTTTTAGTCCAAACAGTGACCTGTCAAGTAATAGATATACTGAGTCAAATTAAAAACTTCACATTTTTAAAAGTAATCCAATATATAATATACAACGGACAAATGTATCAGAGAAGGTAATTTTTAATCATTAATGTCCAAAGAAGGATTTTAATTAACGGTGGTAACCATAATTTGTTCCAAGCACCTACGGTATTCGGTAATAACATCAACAGTTTAAATCATAAGTCCCAAGCACGAGAATCTGATGGCACACAAGTTCAGTAGCGTGTATTGCCACCATGTGCGTTGACAACTGCCACACAACGCCCCCGCATGGACCTTGTGATGCTAGTGAACACATGATTGGGAAGACGACGCCATTGTTGCTGCAAAATGGTGCCAAGATCTTGCAAATTCTGTGGTTGGTTCAGGAGAGTGCGCAGACTTCTGCCAAGAGCATCCCAGACGTGTTCGATGGGATTGAGGTCGGGAGACCTTGACGGCCAGTCCATGAGGTTGACTCCCGCATTCTGAAGGAAATTCCTTGTCACAATTGCTGTGTGGTGTCTGGCATTGTCGTGTTGGAAGATCAAACCGGGTCCATGTGCTGCCATAAGAGGCAGAAGTTCTGGTGCCAGTACCGGTCGCGGTAAGCAGCAGCGTTGAGGTTGCCACGGATGACAAGAAGCCTGGAACGTGCATTGCCGTAGAAAGCACCCCACACCATGACACTTCCGCCTCGAAATCTGTCAACTTCCTGTACACAACACTGGTCGTAACTTTCATGACGGCGCCTCCACACCCTCGCCCTACAATCAGCAAATCGAAGACTAAATCGTGATTCATCACTGAAGACGACTTGATTCCAATTCCTCTGAGTCCATCGTAAGTGTCGTCGCTGTGCCCACAATTGACGTTGACGTCTGTGTAATTGAGTCAGACTCGGCCCGCAGTATGGCCGTCGTGCTTAAAGGTGAGCAGTTCTCAGACGGTTTCGAACAGTTTGCGCACTCAGTCTACCCCTAAACAGTTCATTTCTGGTTGATGTAGCCGTCAAAAATCGGTTACGGAGGTGACGTAAGACAATCTGACGATCCTCTGCATGTGACGTCACACGTGGTCGACCTAGCCGAGGGCGATCAGCGGTGGTACCCGTTTGCTGTAGACGCGTCTGTAAATCATAAACAGTCCGTCGACTACAACCCATCGTCCTTGCGACTTCAGCTACGGACGTTCCCGTCTGCAACATGCCGATGGCACGTTCACGTTGCACATTTGAAAGGCGTGGCATGACAAATGGCCGTAAAGACATTTGTTTTCTTGTGTTTTTCTTTTTTTGTTAATGACTGCTAACAAGTATGGCTGAAAACACGTGCGGTATTATGGCCACGTGATCAGTTGCACATGAAAAACCACTTTTGCCACTATAGTGCTGTGCACATGATTTTGATCGATTCACCTGCACAAAAACGGGTGTTATCTGAAGACAATACGTGGCCATGACTGTTTAAATACACAATAAGGGCCCACAATGATAACAGGCCAAAATGTTAAGATTTTAGGATTGTGAAGTTTTTAATTTGGTTCAGTATATACACCATTTGCCGTGATCCAAGAGTTTTTAACATCATCGACAAGTTTCCTTTTTACGAGAACACAAATTACACCTGAAGGTCTTCCAAAATTTGCTATCTTGTCTACTGTTTTAATAAAGATGGTATATTCGCAGAACGCATCATCAAAAGTCAGATTCAGGGCCCATGTTTCTGTCAAACCAATCATGTCAAAAAAAATATTCATAAATGATAGACACTCACTGTCTTATTAGTTTGAGAGTTTCACAGCATTAATGATATTACTAGTAGGTTCCGACGACGCCCCCTGTATATCCGGGCCCCGCCCACACCCCTATTTCTTGTGTGTTGGTCTCCCACCCCTGTCTGGGTTACCTCTGTCGGCCCGACGTGGGTTGTTTCCGTCACGTGACTCGGGTTGAGTCACCTCTGTATTTACGCGTGAAGTGTACGTATCGCTAACAGGAGCGGACGACAGTTTATCACCTTTATAGAAATAATGTTGGCTTGGGTCTTTCTCTTTGTATTGTTTTATTTCTTGTCTCTTGCAGATCGTTTGCTAAACTGTAACACTCTGGGCTTAAGAGAACCTCTCAAGTTCAGAGTCTTTTTGTTATTGTTCCAATGAACCATTTTTGCTATAACTGGGCGTCGTTTATCGGACGACGTGCGTGCGTGCGAGCGTGTGTGTATGTGCGTGTTTCGATACATCAGCACACCTGCGAGCGTGAGTGCGTGTGTGTGCGTGTGCGTGTTTCGATACATCAGCACACCTGCGAGCGTCAGTGCGTGCTTGCGTGCGTGTGTGCGTGTTTCGATACATCAGTAAACCTGCGAGCATTAGTGCGTGCGTGCGTGCGTGTTTCGATACATCAGCACACCTGCGAGCGTTAGTGCGTGCTTGCGCGCGTGTGTGCGTGTTTCGATACATCAGCACACCTGCGAGCGTTAGTGCGTGCTTGCGCGCGTGTGTGCGTGTTTCGATACATCAGTAAACCTGCGAGCCTTAGTGCGTGCGTGCGTGTGTGTGCGTGTTTCGATACATCAGTACACCTGCGACCGTGAGTGCGTGTGTTCGTGCGTGCGTGTGCGTGCGTGTTTCGATACATCAGTAAACCTGCGAGCCTTAGTGCGTGCATGCGTGTGTGTGCGTGTTTCGATACATCAGTACACCTGCGAGCATGAGTGCGTGTGTTCGTGCGTGCGTGTGTGTGCGTGTTTCGATACATCAGCACACCTGCGAGCGTTAGTGCGTGCTTGCTCGCGTGTGTGCGTGTTTCGATACATCAGTACACCTGCGAGCGTGAGTACGTGTGTTCGTGCGTGCGTGTATGTGCGTGTTTAGATACATCAGTAAACCTGCGAGCCTTAGTGCGTGCGTGCGTGTGTGTGCGTGTTTCGATACATCAGTACACCTGCGAGCGTGAGTACGTGTGTTCGTGCGTGCGTGTATGTGCGTGTTTAGATACATCAGTAAACCTGCGAGCCTTAGTGCGTGCGTGCGTGTGTGTGCGTGTTTCGATACATCAGTACACCTGCGACCGTGAGTGCGTGTGTTCGTGCGTGCGTGTGTGTGCGTGTTTTGATACATCAGCACACCTGCGAGCGTTAGTGCGTGCGTGCGTGTGTGTGTGTGTGTTTCGATACATCGGCACACCTGCGAGCGTGCGTGCGTGCGTGCGTGTGTGTGTGTGTGCGTGTTTTGATACATCAGTACACCTGCGAGCGTGAGTGCGTGCATGCGTGCTTGTGTGGGTGTTCGATACATCAGTACACTTGCGAGCGTGAGTGAGTGCGTGCGTGCGCGCGCGCGTGTGTGTGTGTGTGTGCGTGTATCGATACATCGGTATACCTGCGAGCGTGCGTGTGTGCGTACGTACGTGCGTTCGTGCGTGCGTGTGTGTGTTTGCGTGTGTGTGCATGCGTACGTGCGTGCGTGTGTGTATGCGTGTTTCGATACATCAGCACACCTGCGAGCGTGAGTGCGTGCGTGTGTGCGTGTGTGCATGTGTGCATGTGTGCGTGTGTGTGCGTGTGTGTGCGTTTTTCGATACATCAGTACACCATCGAACGTGAGTGCGTGTGTGCGTGTGTGCGTGTGTGCGTGTGTGTGCGTGTGTGTGCGTGTGTGTGCGTTTTTCGATACATCAGTACACGTGCCACCCATTACACGATTTTGTCTGCAGGTAACTTCGGCACAGTGTTCGTGGACCAGTCCTACTGGCAGAGCAGTGTCGCTGCCAAACCCAAACAAGGAGTGGTGGGTTTCCTGTGTGGCGGCATCGCCTGGTTTGCCGTCCCCTTCTGCCTCGCCACAACCATGGGGCTGGCTTACATAGCCCTCAGCACCAGCCAGGGAGGACCACTCCTCACCGCGGATGACGTCGACGCCGGTGAGTGTCAGTCCATAATATACAGTGTTTCTCCATATATACACTGCCTCACCAAATCCCTTATATACTGTGTCCGTAATATAGTGTCCCTCCATATATATACTGTCTCACCAAATCCGTTATATACTGTGTCCGTAATATAGTGTCCCTCCATATATACACTGTCACACAAAATCCGTTATATACTGTGTCCGTAATATAGTGTCCCTCCATATATACATTGTCACACAAATCCGTAATATTCAGTGTCCGTAATATGCAGTGTTTCTCTATACAAACATATACACTGTCTCACTAAATCCGAAATAAACAGTATCCGTTATCTATAGTGTCTCACAATACACAAATATGTTCACTGTCTCACCATTCTGTAATATACAGTTTCTCTCCATACACACACACACACATATATATATACTGTCTCACCAAATCCGTGATACACAGTTTCCGTAATATACAGTGTCTCTTCATACACACATATACACACTGTCTCACCATTTCGTAATAAACAGTGTCTCTCCATACCCATATATACACTGTCTCACCATTCCGTAATAAACAGTGTCTCTCCATTCACACATATGTACACTGTCACACCTTTCCGTAATATACAGTGTCTCTCCATAACCATATATACACACTGTCTCACCATTCCGTAATATACAATGTCCGTAATATACAGTGTCTCTCTATACCCATATATACACTGTCTCATCATTCCGTAATAAACAGTGTCTCTCCATAACCATATATACACTGTCTCACCATTCCATAATAAACAGTGTCTCTCCATAACCATATATACACTGTCTCACCATTCCATAATAAACAGTGTCTCTCCATAACCATATATACACTGTCTCACCATTCCATAATAAACAGTGTCTCTCCATAACCATATATACACTGTCACACCATTCCGTAATAAACAGTGTCTCTCCATAACCATATATACACACTGTCTCACCATTCCGTAATATACAATGTCCGTAATATACAGTGTCTCTCTATACCCATATATACACTGTCTCATCATTCCGTAATAAACAGTGTATCTCAATAACCATATATACACTGTCTCACCATTCCGTAATAAACAGTGTCTCTCCATAACCATATATACACTGTCTCACCATTCCGTAATAAACAGTGTCTCTCCATAACCATATATACACTGTCTCACCATTCCGTAATAAACAGTGTCTCTCCATAACCATATATACACTGTCACACCATTCCGTAATAAACAGTGTCTCTCCATAACCATATATACACACTGTCTCACCATTCCGTAATATACAATGTCCGTATTATACAGTGTCTCTCTATACCCATATATACACTGGCTCACCTTTCCGTAATATACAGTGTCTCTCCATACCCATATATACACTGTCTCACCATTCCGTAATAAACAGTGTCTCTCCATAACCATATATACACACTGTCTCACCATTCCGTAATATACAATGTCCGTAATATATAGTGTCTCTCTATACCCATATATACACTGTCTCATCATTCCGTAATAACAGTGTCTCTCCATACCCACATATATACACTGTCTGACCTTTCCTTAACATACGGTGTCTCTCCAAACACACATATGTACAGTCTCACTATTCCTTAACATACAGTGTCTCTCCAAACACACATATGTACAGTCTCACTATTCCTTAACATACGGTGTCTCTCCAAACACACATATGTACAGTCTCACTATTCCTTAATATACACTGTCGTAATCTACAGTGTCTCTCCAAACACACATATGTACAGTCTCACTATTCCGTAACATACAGTGTCTCTCCAAACACACATATGTACAGTCTCACTATTCCGTAACATACAGTGTCTCTCCAAACACACATATGTACAGTCTCACTATTCCTTAACATACAGTGTCTCTCCAAACACACATATGTACAGTCTCACTATTCCGTAACATACAGTGTCTCTCCAAACACACATATGTACAGTCTCACTATTCCTTAACATACAGTGTCTCTCCAAACACACATATGTACAGTCTCACCATTCCTTAACATACAGTGTCTCTCCAAACACACATATGTACAGTCTCACTATTCCTTAACATACAGTGTCTCTCCAAACACACATATGTACAGTCTCACTATTCCGTAACATACAGTGTCTCTCCAAACACACATATGTACAGTCTCACTATTCCGTAACATACAGTGTCTCTCCAAACACACATATGTACAGTCTCACTATTCCGTAACATACAGTGTCTCTCCAAACACACATATGTACAGTCTCACCATTCCTTAACATACAGTGTCTCTCCAAACACACATATGTACAGTCTCACCATTCCTTAACATACAGTGTCTCTCCAAACACACATATGTACAGTCTCACTATTCCGTAACATACAGTGTCTCTCCAAACACACATATGTACAGTCTCACTATTCCTTAACATACAGTGTCTCTCCAAACACACATATGTACAGTCTCACCATTCCTTAACATACAGTGTCTCTCCAAACACACATATGTACAGTCTCACTATTCCTTAACATACAGTGTCTCTCCAAACACACATGTACAGTCTCACCATTCGGAACATACAGTGTCTCTCCAAACACACATATGTACAGTCTCACCATTCCTTAACATACACTGTCTCTCCAAACACACATATGTACAGTCTCACTATTCCTTAATATACACTGTCGTAATCTACAGTGTCTCTCCAAACACACATATGTACAGTCTCACTATTCCGTAACATACAGTGTCTCTCCAAACACACATGTACAGTCTCACCATTCGGAACATACAGTGTCTCTCCAAACACACATATGTACAGTCTCACTATTCCTTAATATACAGTGTCTCTCCAAACACACATATGTACAGTCTCACTATTCCTTAACATACACTGTCTCTCCAAACACACATGTACAGTCTCACCATTCGGAACATACAGTGTCTCTCCAAACACACATATGTACAGTCTCACCATTCCTTAACATACTGTGTCTCTCCAAACACACATATGTACAGTCTCACTATTCCTTAACATACAGTGTCTCTCCAAACACACATATGTACAGTCTCACTATTCCTTAACATACACTGTCTCTCCAAACACACATATGTACAGTCTCACTATTCCGTAACATACAGTGTCTCTCCAAACAGACATATGTACAGTCTCACCATTCCGTAACAGTGTCTGTAACAAACAATGTCTCTACATACACACACTTATACAATATCTCCCTACACACATATATATACTGTCTCACCATTCTGTAATATACATTGTCCGTTATATACATTGTCCGTAATATATAATGTCCGTAATATATAGTTTCTTTCCATACACACACATATACACTGTCTCTCCATTCCGTAATATACAGTGTCCGAATCATACAGTGTGTCTCCAGTGTATCTAAACGTACACCCGCACAGTGTCAGAATGCCATGTCTCCAGTGTATCTAAACGTACACCTGCACAGTGTCAGAATGCCATGTCCCCAGTGTATCTAAACGTACACCTGCACAGTGTCAGAATGCCATGTCTCCAGTGTATCTAAACGTACACCTGCACAGTGTCAGAATGCCATGTCTCTAACGTGTTGCAGGCCTTGTTCCACCCGTGGTGGCCCAGAAGCTGTTCGGACGCCAGGGGGAGATCTTGATGCTACTGATGGTGTTGATGGCCATCACGTCCACAGGGTCGTCCGAGGTCATGGCGGTCACTTCCATCATGGTATATGACATATACGGCCTGTATCTGAAGGTGAGTCTGTATGTCAGCCTGTGCCTGTATGTCAAGGTCAGTCTGTCAACACCTGTCCAGTCTGTATGTTGAGCTGAGTCTGCCAAGAGTATACGTCAAGGCCAGTCCGTCAACATCCGTCTGTATGTTTACCTGAGTTTGTGAATGAAATGCGAAAAAATGGGAGTGGAGTTTGCTCGCATTAAATAAGTTTCGCATTTATGTCTCCAAAATAAACTCCACACTATGACGGCCTCACTGCACACACTGGATGGAGGAAATACCAACCTGAATATGAACACAAACACGGTGTACTATCATTCAAACAAGAGGAATTACACAAAGGGCACCCGGTGAGTTGTCACAGTGTAGCAAGGCAATCTATCAAGTGAGACTATATGTCAATGTAAATCTGCATGTTTCGAGGGCTGTGTTACATCGTACTGTTGTTTTCAGCCCTACAGACTGATGACAGACACCAACAGCTGCATCTTGTGCGGGAAGGGGCGTGGTCGGATGGCGAACCCCAGGGACAAGTGCGTGTGTGAGAGCATGACGTACTGCACAGCCTGTCATAGTGACGACAAGTAAGTGGAAGCAAAAGACAGGGTACCTGTGTGTGGAGAGGCGGGTACCTGTGTGTGGAGAGGCGGGTACCTGTGTCTAGAGAGGCGGGTACCTGTGTGTGGAGAGGCGGGTACCTGTGTCTAGAGAGGCGGGTACCTATGTGTGGAGAGGCGGGTACCTGTGTGTGGAGAGGCGGGTACCTGTGTCTAGAGAGGCGGGTACCTGTGTGTGGAGAGGCGGGTACCTGTGTCTAGAGAGGCGGGTACCTGTGTGTGGAGAGGCGGGTACCTGTGTGTGGAGAGGCGGGTACCTATGTGTGGAGAGGCGGGTACCTGTGTGTGGAGAGGCGGGTACCTGTGTGTGGAGAGGCGGGTACCTGTGTGTGGAGAGGCGGGTACCTGTGTCTAGAGAGGCGGGTACCTATGTGTGGAGAGGCGGGTACCTGTGTCTAGAGAGGCGGGTACCTGTGTATGGAGAGGCGGGTACCTGTGTGTGGAGAGGCGGGTACCTATGTGTGGAGAGGCTGGTACCTGTGTGTGGAGAGGCGGGTACCTATGTGTGGAGAGGCGGGTACCTGTGTGTGGAGAGGCGTGTACCTATGTGTGGAGAGGCGGGTACCTGTGTGTGGAGAGGCGGGTACCTGTGTTATGAGAGGCGGGTACCTGTGTCTAGAGAGGCGGGTACCTGTGTGTGGAGAGGCGGGTACCTGTGTTATGAGAGGCTGGTACCTGTGTCTGAAGAGGCGGGTACCTATGTGTGGAGAGGCGGGTACCTGTGTCTAGAGAGGCGGGTACCTGTGTATGGAGAGGCGGGTACCTATGTGTGGAGAGGCGGGTACCTGTGTGTGGAGAGGCGGGTACCTATGTGTGGAGAGGCGGGTACCTGTGTGTGGAGAGGTGTGTACCTATGTGTGGAGAGGCGGGTACCTGTGTGTGGAGAGGCGGGTACCTGTGTTATGAGAGGCGGGTACCTGTGTCTAGAGAGGCGGGTACCTGTGTGTGGAGAGGCGGGTACCTGTGTCTAGAGTGGCGGGTACCTGTGTGTGGAGAGGCGGGTAGCTGTGTGTGGAGAGGCGGGTACCTGTGTCTGGAGAGGCGGGTACCTGTGTCTGGAGAGGCGGGTACCTGTGTGTGGAGAGGCGGGTACCTGTGTTATGAGAGGCGGGTACCTGTGTGTGGTGAGGAGGGTACCTGTGTTATGAAAGGCGGGTACCTGTGTCTGGAGAGGCGGGTACCTGTGTGTGGAGAGGCGGGTACCTGTGTTATGAGAGGCGGGTACCTGTGTGTGGTGAGGAGGGTACCTGTGTTATGAGAGGCGGGTACCTGTGTCTGGAGAGGCGGGTACCTGTGTGTGGAGAGGCGGGTACCTGTGTTATGAGAGGCGGGTACCTGTGTGTGGAGAGGCGGGTACCTGTGTGTGGAGAGGCGTGTACCTGTGTCTAGAGAGGCGGGTACCTGTGTGTGGAGAGGCGGGTACCTGTGTCTAGAGTGGCGGGTACCTGTGTGTGGAGAGGCGGGTACCTGTGTGTGGAGAGGCGGGTACCTGTGTGTGGAGAGGCGGGTACCTGTGTTATGAGAGGCGGGTACCTGTGTCTAGAGAGGCGGGTACCTGTGTGTGGAGAGGCGGGTACCTGTGTTATGAGAGGCTGGTACCTGTGTCTGAAGAGGCGGGTACCTATGTGTGGAGAGGCGGGTACCTGTGTCTAGAGAGGCGGGTACCTGTGTATGGAGAGGCGGGTACCTATGTGTGGAGAGGCGGGTACCTGTGTGTGGAGAGGCGGGTACCTATGTGTGGAGAGGCGGGTACCTGTGTGTGGAGAGGCGGGTACCTATGTGTGGAGAGGCGGGTACCTGTGTGTGGAGAGGCGTGTACCTGTGTGTGGAGAGGCGGGTACCTGTGTGTGGAGAGGCGTGTACCTGTGTGTGGAGAGGCGGGTACCTGTGTCTAGAGAGGCGGGTACCTGTGTGTGGAGAGGCGGGTACCTGTGTGTGGAGAGGCGTGTACCTGTGTGTGGAGAGGCGGGTACCTGTGTGTGGAGAGGCGGGTACCTATGTGTGGAGAGGCGGGTACCTGTGTGTGGAGAGGCGGGTACCTGTGTGTGGAGAGGCGGGTACCTGTGTTATGAGAGGCTGGTACCTGTGTCTGAAGAGGCGGGTACCTATGTGTGGAGAGGCGGGTACCTGTGTCTAGAGAGGCGGGTACCTGTGTATGGAGAGGCGGGTACCTATGTGTGGAGAGGCGGGTACCTGTGTGTGGAGAGGCGGGTACCTATGTGTGGAGAGGCGGGTACCTGTGTGTGGAGAGGCGGGTACCTATGTGTGGAGAGGCGGGTACCTGTGTGTGGAGAGGCGTGTACCTGTGCGTGGAGAGGCGTGTACCTGTGTGTGGAGAGGCGTGTACCTGTGTGTGGAGAGGCGGGTACCTGTGTGTGGAGAGGCGGGTACCTATGTGTGGAGAGGCGGGTACCTGTGTGTGGAGAGGCGGGTACCTGTGTTATGAGAGGCGGGTACCTGTGTCTAGAGAGGCGGGTACCTGTGTGGAGAGGCGGGTACCTGTGTCTAGAGTGGCGGGTACCTGTGTGTGGAGAGGCGGGTACCTGTGTGTGGAGAGGCGGGTACCTGTGTTATGAGAGGCGGGTACCTGTGTCTGGAGAGGCGGGTACCTGTGTGTGGAGAGGCGGGTACCTGTGTGTGGAGAGGCGGGTACCTGTGTGTGGAGAGGCGTGTACCTATGTGTGGAGAGGCGGGTACCTGTGTGTGGAGAGGCGGGTACCTGTGTGTGGAGAGGCGGGTACCTGTGTTATGAGAGGCGGGTACCTGTGTCTAGAGAGGCGGGTACCTGTGTGTGGAGAGGCGGGTACCTGTGTGTGGAGAGGCGGGTACCTGTGTGTGGAGAGGCGTGTACCTATGTGTGGAGAGGCGGGTACCTGTGTGTGGAGAGGCGGGTACCTGTGTGTGGAGAGGCGGGTACCTGTGTTATGAGAGGCGGGTACCTGTGTCTAGAGAGGCGGGTACCTGTGTGTGGAGAGGCGGGTACCTGTGTTATGAGAGGCGGGTACCTGTGTCTTGAGAGGCGGGTACCTGTGTGTGGAGAGGCTGGTACCTGTGTTATGAGAGGCGGGTACCTGTGTCTGGAGAGGCGGGTACCTGTGTGTGGAGAGGCGGGTACCTGTGTTATGAGAGGCGGGTACCTGTGTCTAGAGAGGCGGGTACCTGTGTTAGGAGAGACGGGTACCTGTGTGTGGTGAGGAGGGTACCTGTGTGTGGAGAGGCGGGTACCTATGTCTGGAGAGGCGGGTACCTGTGTTATGAGAGGCGGGTACCTGTGTCTAGAGTGGCGGGTACCTGTGTGTGGAGAGGCGGGTACCTGTGTGTGGAGAGGCGGGTACCTGTGTTAGGAGAGGCGGGTACCTGTGTGTGGTGAGGAGGGTACCTGTGTGTGGAGAGGCGGGTACCTATGTGTGGAGAGGCGGGTACCTGTGTTAGGAGAAACGGGTACCTGTGCGTGGAGAGGCGGGTACCTGTGTGAGGAGAGGAGGGTACCTGTGTGTGGAGAGGCGGGTACCTGTGTGAGGAGAGGCGTGTACCTGTGTATGGAGAGGCGTGTACCTGTGTGTGGAGAGGCGGGTACCTGTGTGTGGAGAGGCGGGTACCTGTGTGTGGAGAGGAGGGTACCTGTATGTGGAGAGGCGGGTACCTGTGTTAGGAGAGGCGGGTACCTTTGGTGGAGAGGCGGGTACCTGTGTGTGGAGAGGCGGGTACCTATGTGTGGAGAGGCGGGTACCTGTGTGTGGAGAGGCGGGTACCTATGTGTGGAGAGGCGGGTACCTGTGTGTGGAGAGGCGGGTACCTGTGTGTGGAGAGGCGGGTACTTATGTGTGGAGAGGCGGGTACCTGTGTGTGGAGAAACGGGTACCTGTGCGTGGAGAGGTGCGTACCTGTGTGTGGAGAGGCGGGTACCTGTGTGTGGAGAGGCGGGTACCTATGTGTGGAGAGGCGTGTACCTATCCCTGGGGAGGCGTGTACCTGTGTGTGGAGAGGAGGGTACCTGTGTGTGGAGAGGCGGGTACCTGTGCGTGGAGAGGTGCGTACCTGTGTGTGGAGAGGCGGGTACCTGTGTGTGGAGAGGCGGGTACCTGTGTGTGGAGAGGCGGGTACCTATGTGTGGAGAGGCGTGTACCTATCCCTGGGGAGGCGTGTACCTGTGTGTGGAGAGGCGTGTACCTGTCCCTGGGGAGGCGTGTACCTGTGTCTAAAGAGGCGGGTACCTGTGTGAGGAGAGGCGTGTACCTGTGTGAGGAGAGGCGTGTACCTGTGTGTGGAGAGGCGGGTACCTGTGTGAGGAGAGGAGGGTACCTGTGTGTGGAGAGGCGGGTACCTGGGTTAGGAGAGGCGTGTACCTGTGTATGGAGAGGCGTGTACCTGTGTGTGGAGAGGAGGGTACCTGTGTGTGGAGAGGTGGGTACCTGTGTCTAGAGAAGCGTGTACCTGTGCGTGGAGAGGCGTGTACCTGTGTGTGGAGAGGCGCGTACCTGTGTGTGGAGAGGCGGGTACCTATGTCTGGAGAGGCGGGTACCTGTGTTATGAGAGGCGGGTACCTGTGTCTAGAGTGGCGGGTACCTGTGTGTGGAGAGGCGGGTACCTGTGTGTGGAGAGGCGGGTACCTGTGTGAGGAGAGGCGGGTACCTGTGTGTGGTGAGGAGGGTACCTGTGTGTGGAGAGGCGGGTACCTATGTGTGGAGAGGCGGGTACCTGTGTTAGGAGAAACGGGTACCTGTGCGTGGAGAGGCGGGTACCTGTGTGAGGAGAGGAGGGTACCTGTGTGTGGAGAGGCGGGTACCTGTGTGAGGAGAGGCGTGTACCTGTGTATGGAGAGGCGGGTACCTGTGTGTGGAGAGGCGGGTACCTGTGTGTGGAGAGGAGGGTACCTGTATGTGGAGAGGCGGGTACCTGTGTTAGGAGAGGCGGGTACCTTTGGTGGAGAGGCGGGTACCTGTGTGTGGAGAGGCGGGTACCTATGTGTGGAGAGGCGGGTACCTATGTGTGGAGAGGCGGGTACCTGTGCGTGGAGAGGTGCGTACCTGTGTGTGGAGAGGCGTGTACCTGTCCCTGGGGAGGCGGGTACCTGTGTGTGGAGAGGCGTGTACCTGTCCCTGGGGAGGCGTGTACCTGTGTCTAAAGAGGCGGGTACCTGTGTGAGGAGAGGCGTGTACCTGTGTGAGGAGAGGCGTGTACCTGTGTGTGGAGAGGCGGGTACCTGTGTGAGGAGAGGAGGGTACCTGTGTGTGGAGAGGCGGGTACCTGGGTTAGGAGAGGCGTGTACCTGTGTATGGAGAGGCGTGTACCTGTGTGTGGAGAGGCGGGTACCTGTGTGTGGAGAGGCGGGTACCTGTGTGTGGAGAGGAGGGTACCTGTATGTGGAGAGGCGGGTACCTGGGTTAGGAGAGGTGCGTACCTGTGTGTGGAGAGGCGTGTACCTATCCCTGGGGAGGCGGGTACCTGTGTGTGGAGAGGCGTGTACCTGTCCCTGGGGAGGCGTGTACCTGTGTCTAAAGAGGCGGGTACCTGTGTGAGGAGAGGCGTGTACCTGTGTGAGGAGAGGCGTGTACCTGTGTGTGGAGAGGCGGGTACCTGTGTGAGGAGAGGAGGGTACCTGTGTGTGGAGAGGCGGGTACCTGGGTTAGGAGAGGCGTGTACCTGTGTATGGAGAGGCGTGTACCTGTGTGTGGAGAGGCGGGTACCTGTGTGTGGAGAGGCGGGTACCTGTGTGTGGAGAGGAGGGTACCTGTATGTGGAGAGGCGGGTACCTGGGTTAGGAGAGGAGGGTACCTGTGTGTGGAGAGGCGGGTACCTGTGTGTGGAGAGGAGGGTACCTGTGTGTGGAGAGGTGGGTACCTGTGTCTAGAGAAGCGTGTACCTGTGCGTGGAGAGGCGTGTACCTGTGTGTGGAGAGGAGGGTACCTGTATGTGGAGAGGCGGGTACCTGTGTTAGGAGAAGCGGGTACCTGTGTTAGGAGAGGCGGGTACCTGTGTGTGGAGATGCGGGTACTTGTGTTTGGAGAGGCGGGTACCTGTGTTATGAGAAGCGTGTACCTGTGTTAGGGGAAGCGGGTACCTGTGTTAGGAGAGGAGGGTACCTGTATGTGGAGAGGAGGGTACCTGTGTTAGGAGAGGCGGGTACTTTTTCTGGAGAGAGGGATGGGTACTTCTGTGTGTATGAGGATTGGTACCTATGTGTATACCCGTGAAAATCCGGGTTAAAATAGGTCTTCAGCAACCCATGCTGGTCTCAAGAGGCGACTAACGGGATCGGGTGGTAAGACGTGCTGATTTGGTTGATGCATGTGCATGCCTTGGTTGAAGTCATCCACTGGATTGTCTGGTCCAGACTCGATTATTAACAGACCGCCGTCATATAGCTGGAATATTGCTGCGTGCGGCGTTTAACAAAAAACCCCAAAACATCTTTGTGTAGCAGGGTTGACACCTATGTGTGTAGAATTGTGGGTATTTCTGTGTGTAGTACTGGGAGAAGTGAGGGATGACATTCACTTGGGATGGACTTATATTTTCAGAGCTCGGGAGGTTTGTCGGCGCGCCATCAAGCCGGAGTACAAGTGCACTGTCCACGGCTCCTACCGGGTGTACAACGATCTGCTGCTGCGTCTCAAGAGTTGGTGCCTCGTGTGGACAACCTTCAGCATTCTGCCTCTCACAGTCATCCTCTCTCTCATGCAGGTCAGTGTGTCTCTCATCATTTCTCTCATGCAGGTGGGTGTGTCACTCATGCATGCCAGTGTGTCTCTCATGCAGGTCAATGTCTATCATCCTCTTAACAATCATCCTGTCACTGATGCAGGTCAGTGTGTCTATCATGCAGGTCAGTGTGTCACTCATCCCCTTAAGAATCATCCTGTCACTGATGCAGGTCAGTTTGTCTCCCATGCAGGTCAATGTGTCTCTCTTGCAGGTCAATGTGTCTCTCATCCTCTTAACAATCATCCTGTCAATGATGCAGGTCAGATTGTCTCCCATGCAGGTCAATGTGTCTCTGTTGCAGGTCAATGTGTCTCTCATCCTCTTAACAATCATCCTGTCACTGATGCAGGTCAGTTTGTTTCCCATGCAGGTCAATGTGCCTCTCTTGCAGGTCAATGTGTCTCTCATCCTCTTAACAATCATCCTGTCACTGATGCAGGTCAGTTTGTCTCCCATGCAGGTCAATGTGTCTCTCTTGCAGGTCAATGTGTCTCTCATCCTCTTAACAATCATCCTGTCACTGATGCAGGTCAGTTTGTCTCCCATGCAGGCCAATGTGTCTCTCATCCTCTTAACAATCATCCTGTCACTGATGCAGGTCAGTTTGTCTCCCATGCAGGCCAATGTGTCTCTCATCCTCTTAACAATCATCCTGTCACTCATGCAGGTCAGTGTTTCACTCATGCAGGTAAGTGTTTCACTCATGCAGGTCAGTTTGTCTCCCATGCAGGTCAGTGTGTCTCTCATCCTCTTAACAATCATCCTGTCACTGATGCAGGTCAGTTTGTCTCCCATGCAGGCCAATGTGTCTCTCATCCTCTTAACAATCATCCTGTCACTCATGCAGGTCAGTGTTTCACTCATGCAGGTAAGTGTTTCACTCATGCAGGTCAGTTTGTCTCCCATGCAGGTCAGTGTGTCTCTCATCCTCTTAACAATCATCCTGTCACTGATGCAGGTCAGTTTGTCTCCCATGCAGGCCAATGTGTCTCTGATCCTCTTAACAATCATCCTGTCACTGATGCAGGTCAGTTTGTCTCCCATGCAGGTCAGTGTGTCTCTCATCCTCTTAACAATCATCCTGTCACTGATGCAGGTCAGTGTGTCTCTCATGCAGGTCAATGTGTCTCTCATCCTCTTAACAATGATCCTGTCACTGATGCAGGTCAGTGTGTCTCTCACCCTTCTAACACTCACCCTGTCAATCATGCAGGCTAATGTGTCTCTCTTGCAGGTCAATGTGTCTCTCATCCTCTTAACAATCATCCTGTCACTCATGCAGGTGAGTGTGTCTCTCATGCAGGTCAGTGTTTCTCCCATGCAGGTCATTGTGTCACTTATCCTGTCACTTATGCAGGCCAGTGTGTCACTCATGCAGGTCAGTGTGTCACTCATCCTGTCACTCATGCAGGTCAGTGTTTCTCCAATGCAGGTCAGTGTGTCACTCATGCAGGTCAGTGTGTCACTTATCCTGTCACTTATGCACGCCAGTGTGTCACTCATGCAGGTCAATGTGTCACTTATCCTGTCACTCATGCAGGTCAGTGTGTCACTCATGCAGGTCAATGTGTCACTTATCCTGTTACTCATGCAGGTCAGTGTTTCTCCCATGCAGGCCATTGTGTCACTCATGCAGGTAAGTGTGTCACTCATGCAGGTAAGTGTGGCACTCATGCAGGCCAGTGTGTCACTCATCCTGTCACTCATGCAGGTAAGTGTGTCTCTCACCCTTCTAACACTCACCCTGTCACTCATGCATGCAAATGTGTCTCTCTTGCAGGTCAATGTGTCTCTCATCCTCTTAACAATCATCCTGTCACTCATGCAGGTGAGTGTGTCTCTCATGCAGGTCAGTGTTTCTCCCATGCAGGTCACTGTGTCACTTATCCTGTCACTTATGCAGGCCAGTGCGTCACTCATGCAGGTCAGTGTGTCACTCATCCTGTCACTTATGCAGGTCAGTGTTTCACTCATGCAGGTCAGTGTGTCACTCATCCTGTCACTCATGCAGGTCAGTGTTTCTCCAATGCAGGTCAGTGTGTCACTCATGCAGGTCAATGTGTCACTTATCCTGTCACTATGCACGCCAGTGTGTCACTCATGCAGGTCAATGTGTCACTTATCCTGTCACTCATGCAGGTCAATGTGTCACTTATCCTGTTTCTCATGCAGGTCAGTGTTTCTCCCATGCAGGCCAGTGTGTCACTTATGCAGGTCAGTGTGTCGCTCATGAAGGTCAGTGTGTCTCTCATGCAGGTCAGTGTTTCTCCCATGCAGGTGAATGTGTCACTCATCCTGTCACTCATGCAGGTCAGTGTGTTGCTCATGCAGGTCAGTGTTTCACTCATGCAGGTCAGTGTGTCACTCAGGCAGGTCAGTGTGTCACTCATGCAGGTCAGTGTGTCACTCATCCTGTCACTCATGCAGGTCAGTGTGTTGCTCATGCAGGTCAGTGTTTCACTCATGCAGGTCAGTGTGTCACTCATGCAGGTCAGTGTGTCACTCATGCAGGTCAGTGTGTCACTCATCCTGTCACTCATGCAGGTCTGTGTGTCACTCATCCTGTCACTCATGCAGGTCAGTATGTCACTCATGCAGGTCAGTGTTTCACTCATGCAGGTAAGTGTTTCACTCATGCAGGTCAGTTTGTCTCCCATGCAGGTCAATGTGTCTCTCATCCTCTTAACAATCATCCTGTCACTGATGCAGGTCAGTGTGTCTCTCATGCAGGTCAATGTGTCTCTCATCCTCTTAACAATCATCCTGTCACTGATGCAGGTCAGTGTGTCTCTCACCCTTCTAACACTCACCCTGTCACTCATGCAGGCCAATGTGTCTCTCTTGTAGGTCAATGTGTCTCGCATCCTCTTAACAATCATCCTGTCACTCATGCAGGTGAGTGTGTCTCTCATTCAGGTCAGTGTTTCTCCCATGCAGGTCACTGTGTCACTTATCCTGTCACTTATGCAGGCCAGTGTGTCACTCATGCAGGTCAGTGTGTCTCTCATCCTGTCACTCATGCAGGTCAGTGTTTCTCCAATGCAAGTCAGTGTGTGACTCATGCAGGTCAATGTGTCACTTATCCTGTCACTCATGCAGGTCAGTGTTTCTCCCATGCAGGCCATTGTGTCACTCATGCAGGTAAGTGTGTCACTCATGCAGGTAAGTGTGGCACTCATGTAGGTGAGTGTGTCACTCATCCTGTCACTCATGCAGGTAAGTGTGTCTCTCATGCAGGTCAGTGTTTCACTCATGCAGGACAGTGTGTCACTCATGCAGGCCAGTGTGTCACTCATGCAGGTCAGTGTGTCACTCATCCTGTCACTCATGCAGGTCAGTGTGTCTCTCATGCAGGTCAGTGTGTCACTCATGCAGGTCAGTGTGTCACTCATGCAGGTCAGTGTGTCACTCATCCTGTCACTCATGCAGGTCAGTGTGTCACTCATTCAGGTCAGTGTGTCACTCATGCAGGTCAGTGTGTCGCTCATGCAGGTCAGTGTTTCACTCATGCAGGTCAGTGTTTCACTCATGGAGGTCAGTGTGTCACTCATGCAGGTCAATGTGTCACTTATCCTGTCACTCATGCAGGTCAGTGTTTCTCCCATGCAGGCCATTGTGTCACTCATGCAGGTAAGTGTGGCACTCATGCAGGTGAGTGTGTCACTCATCCTGTCACTCATGCAGGTCAGTGGTTCACTCATGCAGGTCAGTGTTTCACTCATGGAGGTCAGTGTGTCTCTCATGCAGGTCAGTGTTTCTTCCATGCAGGTCACTGTGTCACTCATGCAGGTCAATGTGTCACTTATCTTGTCACTCATGCAGGTCAGTGTGTCACTCATGCAGGTCAATGTGTCACTTATCATGTCACTCATGCAGATAAGTGATTCTCCCATGCAGGCCATTGTGTCACTCATGCAGGTAAGTGTGTCACTCATGCAGGTAAGTGTGGCACTCATGCAGGTGAGTGTGTCACTCATCCTGTCACTCATGCAGGTCAGTGTATCGCTCATGCAGGTCAGTGTTTCACACATGAAGGTCAGTGTGTCACTCATGCAGGCCAGTGTGTCACTGATCCTGCCACTCATGCAGGTAAGTGTGTCTCTCATGCAGGTCAGTGGTTCACTCATGCAGGTCAGTGTTTCACTCATGCAGGCCAGTTTGTCACTCATTCAGGCCAGTGTGTCACTGATGAAGGTAAGTGTGTCACTCATGCAGGTCAGTGTGTCGCTCATGCAGGTCAGTGTTTCACTCATGCAGGCCAGTGTGTCACTCATGCAGGTCACTGTGTCACTTACCCTGTCACTTTTGCAGTCCAGTGTGTCACTCATGCAGGTCAGTGTGTCACTCATCCTGTCACTCATGCAGGTCAGTGTATCGCTCATGCAGGTCAGTGTTTCACTCATGCAGGTCAGTGTGTCACTCATGCAGGCCAGTGTGTCACTCATCCTGTCACTCATGCAGGTCAGTGTGTCTCTCATGCAGGTCAGTGGTTCACTCATGCAGGTCAGTGTTTCACTCATGGAGGTCAGTGTGTCTCTCATGCAGGTCAGTGTTTCTCCCATGCAGGTCACTGTGTCACTCATGCAGGTCAATGTGTCACTTATCCTGTCACTCATGCAGGTCAGTGTGTCACTCATGCAGGCCAGTGTGTCACTCATGCAGGTAAGTGTGGCACTCATGCAGGTGAGTGTGTCACTCATCCTGTCACTCATGCAGGTCAGTGTTTCACTCATGCAGGACATTGTGTCACTCATGCAGGCCAGTGTGTCACATATGCAGGTCAGTGTGTCACTCATCCTGTCACTCATGCAGGTCAGTGTGTCTCTCATGCAGGTCAGTGTGTCACTCATGCAGGTCAGTGTGTCACTCATGCAGGTGAGTGTGTCACTCATGCAGGTGAGTGTGTCACTCATGCAGGTCAGTGTGTCACTCATCCTGTCACTCATGCAGGTCAGTGTGTCGCTCATGCAGGTCAGTGT